GGTTTTATATCTAACTGACCCTCGATATAACGGACTTTAATCTCTATACAGTTTGTTACATGAAAGGTTTATGTCTAACGGACCCTCGATATAACGGACTCTCATCCCTATAAAGTCCGTTAAATAGAAGTATCCCTGTGATCATCATCATATGGGAGAGAGATTAAAACTTAAGGTAAAAGTTTTATAAGTGGGAAAAAATAAAAGCAAGACAAGTATTTTTTTTCCAGCTCGATTTAACCTTAATTAAGTAGAGTTTGTGAGAGCTGGGAAGGGTTAGGTTAGGTTAGGTTAGGTTAGGTTACGTTAGGTTAGGTTAGGTTACGTTAGGTTAGCTTAGGTTAGGTCAGGTTAGGTTCTTCATCAGCCTCCAATACCGATAGAGCGTCTGTGTCGTCACTCTAAATCATTAATGAAGAAAGAAGGTAAAAAAAAAATAGGGTGATGTGTGGGAATATGAGAGCGGCCCATGTACTGTAAGACCCAGGTAAAGGCTAACATAAATTATTTTACCTGGTCTTTGGTGGCAGGTATTGAATAACCTTTTACCTTGTATCATTATCGAAGAGACTTACACACATTCTCTCTCTCTCTCTCTCTCTCTCTCTCTCTCTCTCTCACCAACAGAGCTCTCGTGATTGGTCATATATGTCAGGAACATTTAAAACAAATAATCAGACAAACAATCAAATGTCCTTCGAGATGAACATAATAAACAGAATAATAACAATGTTTTGTGTTTGTTTGCTAGAAAGTATTAATACATTAGATTAACAATTATTATTATTATTATTATTATGATTATTAAGGTACAAGGGAAAAAGGGAAAATGATTTAATGGAAAGAAATTTAGGACAAGATTGAGGTTAAAGGTTCATAATCTGGCTCCAGTGGTGTGTGCGTGTGTGCGTGTGTGTGTGTGTGTGTGTGTGTGTGTGTGCCAAAACAGAGGAACATATATACTCAGTTACCTTCACTATAAAGGTAGAGAATTGAGAGGTAAGAGTAATGAATGGGGGTGAGGTAAATAAAGACGAATGGGAGGTGAGGGTGAGGGGGGGGGGGAAGGGGGTGAGGGATGAGGGAGGAATCGGGGAGGAGGGGTGAGGAGAGTGAGGGAAGTCGGAGGGGAGTGAGGGTGAGGGAAGTGAGGGGTGAGGGGGGAGTGAGGGGGTGGGGGAGGAGGGGTGAGGAGAGTGAGGGAAGTGAGTGAGGGGGTGAGTGGGGGATGAGAGGAATCGGTGGGAGTGAGGGGTGTGAGGGAAGTGAGGGGAGTGAGGGGAGTGAGGGTGAGAGGGTGTGGAGAGGGTAGGAGGATAGGGAGGAGTGGTAAAGAGTGATAGAGAGGAAATGAAGATAAATGGAGGGAGAGACAGAACAGGTAAATTGTGATAAATGGACATGGAAAGAAGAGGATTTTCGTAAATAGGCAGAGAGAGAGAGAGAGAGAGAGAGAGAGAGAGAGAGAGAGAGAGAGAGAGAGAGAGAGAGAGAGAGAGTGTGTGTGTGTGTGTAAAGGTTGCTAGACAAGAGAGGAAGAAGTGAAAATGACGATAAATAAGGAGGAAAAGAACTACGAATAATGATAACACGGAGAAACAAAGGAATATGGAGTAGATAAAGAGATTAGATACAATAAATTAGTATAATGTAGAAAATAGAATTACAGATAAGAGATAAATAAGAGAAAACAAGACGTAAGATAAAGTATATAACACATAGAGAGAAAGAAGGAAGACATAAGACGAACAATAAAGATAAAAAGAAAAAGAAACCTTTGATTAACTTAGAAAGAGAAAAATAAAAGTAAACAACAAAAGTAAAAAAAGTTAAAAATGACAAATATTTTACAAAAGCCAAAAAAATATACGAATAACGCCAAGAGGAAGGAAGAATAAAAGCGAAAGATGAAAGGGAGAGACAAAGATAAGAGGAAAAAGGTTTAGATATTAAGGAAATGACAAATAGTGAGCTTTATATAGACTACACGACTTCCATCCATTCATCCATCTATCCATCCATCTATCCATCCATTAAATCATCCACCCATTCACCCATCCATCCAAATCCTGACAAGTATATGAATCAAATGTTACCTTGCCATTTCTACGGTAAAACCCACCCAAGTTTAACATTTACATCACGGACGAGTTAAACCTAACCTAACGTAACCTAACCAAACCTAACCAAACCAAACCTAACCTAACCTAACCAAACCTAACCTAACCTAAATTCGTCCGTGTTGGTCAGTAGGTCCAAGTGACTACTGGATAAAAAAAAAAGTATTCGGCCACGATTTTACCTTGAAAAAATTTCGACTCACTCATATCAGAAAAACACAATGTTGGAGAGCTTAGTTCTGATTGTTGAGTGAGATAAGAAAGAAAGAAAGAAAGAAAGAAAGATGTAACATTTAAGGTAAAGGAGATAAGAATAGGAGATAGAAAAAATACAAAATAAATCGAAGAAAAAAGTGAAAAGGCAAATTAGGGAAAGAAAT